GTCCTTGCTCCCCTGGAATAAATAGGAAAAATATAGGGAAACATCTAACCTCCATAGGCTTCAGTTCTTTAAAGGCAATAGAGATAACCAAGTACCTATTATTAGTGGTGAGTGGACTTTTTATTTTAAAGGTACGTAATTTCCCTTCAGTCTGTATAACTTCCTTATTTTAAGTGTAGTTTCCTGGTTTAAAACAAAAAATATTATATATTTTTAATAAATACATTTTTATTTCCTTTTCGTGTTAAAACTATTGAGCGTTTATCTTTGTTAAACGACTCGTGGATGAATTCTGTGACACTTCTCAATACCATATGATTATTAATGCATAATAACACATAGCAGGCCGTCAAAAAAGAGCTTGTCGTGGTGCTGAAAAGACGTCAGATTAAATGGCTGTCTCTTACAAATGCAGTGACGGGACATAAAAAATAAAAGCCAGAGTGATTGGAAAATTGATACAGCCGTCTCTTTCTATTGTCCGCCAGAAAACCAAACATGGCAGAAAAACGCACGCTGATCATTTAGGTGTCAGATCTGATTGGTTCTTTTGTCAATAAGAACAAACTTAGAAAGTGACTGACAAGTGAATAGAAAGGAGGAGGAGGAAGGAAAGAGGGGCGGATTGGTGACGAAACATGCTTGTGTGTGACAAAAGTTTTATTCTAATGTTGTCTTGATTAATGATTGATGATTAGGAGCACGAAAAACTGCTCCTGCAGCAACACACACACACCCTGCAGTGTTCAAACACACATAAATCACAGAAATGTTGGTTGCAGCACTGAGAGGCCGACAAATATTGAATCAAGTAAGCTAACTGTTCTTTGGTAAGGGAAGGTCAAATATCCCACACCCATAAGCATATTTAAACACACGGAGGTTACACACCACACACACCATTGATTTTCTGTTAAGAACCACAAGAAACAATCAGCACACAGTTTAGTATTAGGCTTAGTGCTTATTTGAACAGAGACTGCAGTTAAACACTTTTTCTAAGATCATAGCAGCGATGCAACCCAACCAAACAGGCTGCTTGGAAATTTATTATGCATGATTTTAATTTTACTTTGCAAATATTTTTGTTCACTATGGGAGGGCGAGTCCTGATGTGGTTAAAGTTTAATTAGGAACCCCAGAACAAAACATACCGGAATGCTTGGACCAAAAAGGCCTTTGGTTGGTATGTTTGTGGATATTGTTTGACTAATTTCACTGCTTAAGCGAGTGTGTGTGTGTGTGTGTGTGTGTGTGTGTGTGTGTGTGTGTGTGTGTGTGTGTGTGTGTGTGTGTAATACAGCCTATTTCAGAGATTTTTTTTTTCGTGTCCTGTCTGGCTGTGAAGCAAACAGAATTAAGGTCTGAATGCTGGTGACAAGCCTTAAAGATTTACTCTCAGATGGAGCATCAAAGCATCTGCTTTTAATGTCACGCCTGATACTTAAAACTTTATTGTTATTGTTCCCTGAATGCTTTGCAATTTCGACCTTACAGAGGCGAAAGAGAAAGGAAGAGACAAAAGGTGGGTGGGGGCTCCACGAAAACAAACAACCAACGATGAACAATAGTCTGCTTCCAGACCTGAAGAAAAGGGACACACAGCAATACAACAGGAGCGAGCTATCACTGCGTCAACTTGATGAAGAAATGTAAAATCAACATAGTTTTACTGAACAATCACACGATAATAAATCACAGCGCATTTAGTGCCAACCACAGCCTTAAGACATGTGTTGAACATGCCCAAGTCTATACTCACCATGTGAGCACCTGTGTGCCTACTCGCGCTTATTTATGTAAGGTTTCTCTATAGGGGCATCCAATAGAGAGTGTGAGGGGCCACAGATCTGCCCCCAAAAATGCATAGGAAATGGAGGGAGCTCCAAATCCCAGAGATCCAGGACCTGCCCCAGAGCACAGGGGCCCCAGGGAGACTGTGACCAGAAAAGGCCCTGCACCCCTCAAGAGGCGCAGAGGATTGCCCCGGGGGGCCACAACCAGCAGCCAGCAGAGTCCTGGGAGATATCAGTGGCAAGCCCACAGGCCTGCCCGCAGCCTCCCACCCCCCAGCCAGCCGAGCCCGGGACCCAGCAACCCGGGACCTAGGGTGGTCCACCCCCGCCGGGGACCCAGCAGAGCCTTGGGACCCAGATCCCACCAGGCAGCCACCGGGATTGATCAGGCAGATGACAAAAATCTTAAACCCCCTGACCCGGGAGCCACGAACACTCAGGCAGACCATGGCACCACACTCCACACCAGGTGTGGCAGTGGGAGGGGAGACGAAGATGTATAGCATCAAAAGAAGTCCCAGGAGAAGGGAGGAGTCAAAGGCCCCACCTGACATACACAGTCATACACAGACACAGCCACACACTCCCTCCCTCATGCTCACACATACACATGCAACCAAAGACTTACAAAAATGCATGCCGGACACCCACTCTTGCTCCCCATACACACCCTATTCACTCTGGTCCCGGTACTGCTGCACAAAGGGTACAACCATCACCGGTTCCCAGAGTTTGACCCTTTCTGCTGGGGTGCAGATGAGCAGGCTCCCCTGCCCAATGTTGAGCAAAGCAACCCACCACCCCAGACCCCAACCAGACGGCCAGATCTCCCCCTCCTAGCCTCCAACCCCGGGAAGCCAATTGACAACAGAGGTTTGCTAAGACCCCTAGTCTCCCTCCGCCTGCCCCACAATAGTGTTAGTGTGTGTTGATGAGGTGTATTCCATGGCTGTGGTGAGCGGGCAGTGCGGGCATCGTCTGGCCTATGCCAGCTAATGCCACCACACTACCCTACTTGCACCCACAGCCCTCAGTGTCTAAGTGCAGTTTAAATTGGAAGTGGGCACCGGCACTCGGGATGAGGCTGAAAAATCCCCCTGCCAAATGCTGTTGAATGTGCTCACTCCCAAGGCCCTAAGTGTGTGTTTGCATGGAATGTCATTGGTGGAAGTGTAAGGTGCAAATAAAATTGGGGGGCAGGTTGCCACAGGAATGCGGAAATGGGGCCCATACCCGCGCCCCTGACTTGCCCACCCCCCAAGGTCCTACGTGCATGATTGTGTGATGATGTGAGGGAGCAGGAGGAGAAAAATGTGTGGGGATGGGGAGGAAAGGCTGGTTGGACTTAAGCCCTCCAGGGAGCCAGCTCCCCCACTGGCCCCAATAGGCACCTCCATTGCTAAAATGCCACCCAAGGCATGGAGACCCCAGCCCATCTTGCCACGGCCCAAAGCAGCAGCATCACAGAGCCTCATGGAGTCCGAGGGCACCAACCCAGCCCCACCCCAGCAGAATATCTACTCCCATCCCTGCATTTGCACAACTTCCAGAATATATAAGACATAGGACATCCAGGTATGGTTGGGTCCTCCCCCTCCTGGACATCCCCCTCCCCTGTGATGGAACAGCAGAGGAGCCAAGGTCTACCTGAGGCCCCTGAGCCCGGGAGAGGCACTGCCACATGCTCCTGCCTTCTTCCCGGCAGCATACATGTTAGGACCCGACCCCCAAGGCCCCGCCCAGATCCCCATACGGGGCTGGACACCCCCACACCCCGAGTCCCCAGGTCCCCGCCCAGACCCACTCAGGGGCAATGCAGCCGCCAGGCAGAGTTTTTAGACCCTAAATTGCGAAGATAATTTTAGCATTGTAGTTGATTTACTCTGCTCATCTCACATGGACTGACACTGGCTGATAGGGCTGCAACAATGAATTGATAAAAGGGATAAAAATCGATGAAGAAATGCATTGGCAACGCATTTGGTCATCGTTTTGTTGCATTATGCAACTTTTTTTCATGTCACGCTACTTTTATTTAACAGTCAATAAGCGCAGCTCAACAATAGGTGGCAGAGCAGATCGAGGCACATCAGACTGAGAGAGAAAGCCAGGGTTTTGATGAGGAGCAGGACACTTAGAACGTGGCACAAGCAGGAAGACCTAAGAAAATAAAAACTTCAAAAGTTTGGGAGCACTTAATGTTAAACCATGCAAAGACCTTGGTCACCTGCAACATATGTAAGTCAGACATGGCATGGCACTTTAGCATTTCCAGTAGCTTACTACTGAACATGTTAAGGAAATACATTACATTTTACTGATTAACTATGGATATATTTAGGTGATATGATGTTGTTTTGCATGCTATTGAACTGTTTTCTAATCATGTTTTGTTGTTGAATAAAAAAAAGAAGGAGAGAAAAAAGTTGCCCCAGCAGTTTTTAAAATTTCCCATTTAATCCGTTTAATCTGATTAATCAATTAATCGAGTCGAGACCCCATCCCATTCATCGATCCAAATAATCTTTTGTTGCAGCCCTACTGGCTAAACAAACAAAGAAAGCAAAAGCACAGATTAGTCCTCATATTTTAAACAGTTTACCAATTAATGGTTGAAAACTTAACAGTGGAAAGCGCGGCTAAAAAAGAAAAATGTACTGCTGAGACCAGGATTATGAACCTGCCCAAAAGTGCATGCCAGCCCAGTAGTCTAATCACTAGACTACCAAGTCTGTTGCCTATGCCACATGCCCTGTGCTGGCCAGGGAGACAAGTTTCAGACCAGAGACCACCTGGAGCAGAAAGGAGCAGGGCCTGATGCTGGGAGCAGCAGGTGGAATGACGTACAACTTCTCCATTAGGTCATTTCAAGTATTAAGAAAAAAACATCTAAATTTTCTGTTGAAACAGGAAAATGCATGAATGCAGCTAGAAATGGGTTTGGGGGTAGAAGAAGCAAACCTATTAAATGCTAAAAAGCTCCAAAAAGTGAATCTTCCATGATTCCCTTTAATTTTTTTGAGCCTCACAAAAACTGGTGTTCAAGTCTAAACAGGTTTCCCAGTTTGTACAAACATTAGAAACAGTTCAACTGATCATTCGTGAAGTGAACGATTGTGAGGAGGAGCACACTGTGGGTTGAAGTCAAGGCTTTTCATAAATGAATTGGGTGTTTTCTTCTATGGTAATTCTGATCACGCTCACCATGATGTTGTTGTGGATGAAGCCTTTGCGGTAGCGGGCAGGTTTGAGGTGGGGGTACTCTTCAGTGCTGGTAACCCGGATGTTCCAAACGCGCCTCCACGCCTCATAGAGCTGCAGGTGCACAGGGTAGACGCCGGAGTGGTGAGGGGCCACGGCGTAGCCCATGTCCACGGGGATGTTGTGCTCCTGCAGGGAATGATGGACACAGACATGAAGGTTATATAAATAAATACAAAAATTACGGCGCATCAACGGCTCGTGGACAGAGGACTCTGGGGCACGTAAACATACGGAACCGAACGGCTTGACCTTGTAGGAGAAGCGCATGGTTCATGTTGTGTGTGTTATGGTGCTGGCCTTCGGCTTGGAAATGAGACAAATACGGTGTGTGTGTGTGTGTGTGTGTGTGTGTGTGTGTGTGTGTGTGTGTGTGTGTGTGTGTGTTATGGTGCTGGCCTTCGGCTTGGAAATGAGACAAATACGGTGTGTGTGTGTGTGTGTGTGTGTGTGTGTGTGCATGTGTGTGCATGTGTGTGTGTGTGCATGCGTGCGTGCGTGTGTGTGTATGTGCGAGAGCTTGAGGGTGGATGGCTGCTGCAGCACTGAGAAGACTGATGGTGTTGTCCTTTGCTCTGACACACACCTACACACTGTCAAAGCTAAGCATCAGCGGCCAGGGGATGGAGTGAAGTGTGAGTATATAAATGTGCATGTGTGTGTGTGTGTGTGTGTGTGTGTTTCACCTTCAATGGAATAAAACAAACCCTTTTGTCTGTATTCTGCATGTGAAATCACAGTCAAATCGACTGTAGTCACATGATCATCGAACATGCGCCATTACAACTCAGTGAAAAATGACAGAGAGAAACAAACAACAAACAAACACTTAAGTTTACAATCTTCACAATAAGGAGATGATGTCAAAGTGAGCAAAAATGTAACAAAACGTGTGCATTCGTTTTTCTTTTTTTGATTAAAGCCACACATAACCAAAGTTTCAACTATCCTCAAATCAAAGTGCTGCAATTTTATTTAGCAGAAAATGCTATTTTCTTTACCGCTCGATTAAAATGGGCTGCAGGGGACCCATTAACTCCTAAGAAAGTCAGCTGGCAATAGTTAACTTTAAAAGATTCTATTTCACCAATTCAAATGACTGAAATGCATCAAGCATTGGAGCAACACAATCCCACTTCCTTACGAAATCAGTAACCATAGCAACAGCGATGGAGTCAATGTCACTATGTCACTTTGCTGCAACAATTAGCAAGCATGTGCGATGTATGCACAAAAATAAGTTACAATCTGCCATATTGTAATCAAAGCCTTCATGGGAGATAGGTGCAAAAGCAGTCTTTATTAAACGATCACTTGATAAATTAGACATGAAAGAACAAATATGATGGTAAATTATTAGAATGGTATTGACTAAGACAGGTGTGTTGACACCTTCAACAGCAGGGGGTGGAGAAGACATCTCAGGATAGTTTTCTCAGTTGACTGCTTATTGTGCTTCATGTCAGAATCAGAATCACAAGGGTTTTATTGTCCTATGTGTAATTGCTGCAGAAGCTGTTTCTCTAATTATTACCACTTTATATTATTATTTTATTGTTCTTATATTCTTATTTTTTACTTGTGTTATATATATTTTTTTTCTTTTTGCACCAAGTATCACAGCAATTTTGTAATGTTGTGATGAAAGACATGTCCAAGTCATTTAGAACTGAGGAAAGAGCCCCAGCCAACTCTGCTTCAAACACAATCTTCGTTGTTTAGGAGAAACTGAGCATTGAGGTGTGTGACGTACACTGCGCAGCACTGATTGGCTGTTCCCAGGGGGTGGGGTTATTTGAATGGGAGAATTACCAGGCCCTTTGCTTCCCATAATAAAGCATTAGCATGGCTGGCCAGGCTTGTAGACACTAGGGAAGGCTGGGGAGACATTTCGGGTGTTTCTCAATTTCAAGGAACCTCGCTTTGATGCTTTGGTCCCACCCTGGATGCCTGGGAGATACATCATCAGTAGCAGTCAAGGCGTGCTCTAAACGGTTAATCACTGTTGCCTTGCAACACGAAGGTTGCAGGTTCGAAACTCAGCTGTGGCCTTTCTGCGTGGAGTTGCGTGTTCTCCCCATGCATGCGTGGGTTTCCTCCGGGTACTCCAGTTTCCCCTACAGATCACAACGTGCCATATGGGTTATAAATTGTAAGCCGCTTTGGATAAAAGTGTCTGCCAAATAAATAAGCATAAACATAAACATGTTCATGTTCTACAGAGGTGTCTGTCTTCCCTTTGTTAGCCGTTTAGCTAACTGAGCAAGATTACATGCGAGTTGCCTTGTTGCTTTCTCTTGGTCAAAAATTTCCATAGTCCGTGGCTACTTCGAGGGCAAATTTCAGTTTATCTATTGTTGGTTAGCTGCTTAGTAGTTGCAGCTTCGTTGGCTAGCAGGTAGTAACTTGCTTACATATTTAATTTAACCAACTAT